ACCCTATATTTTTTTAATTGGGGGTTGCTTCTTTTCTCTACTGGAAGATAGCAAGCAGACAATTCACAGTTCATGTGAGTTTACTTATCAGTCAAAAAGAAATACTATTAATATCAATCTCTGACTAACTTGCTTTCTATTATTCAGTTAAGTGGAAAATATGAGTAGAGCTCTAGTCAGGTACTAGAATGACTAAAAATAGCATCTGCAAATTCTTTTTTTAATTAGGAAAATGCATGGGTGAGGGAGAAAACAGGAATGTTAAAAGTAATGTTCTTCTAAAGATCATACACCCAATTTCCCATTTTTTTTGCTTCTATATTTTACTTAGAAGCTGCTTAACAATCAAGAAGTCTGTATTTCACTTTTCATCACCTCTGCTCACATAACTGGTGTTTTTAAAGTCCTATAGCAATCAAGAATGCTACAAAAACCACATGCAGAAGAATTTCACCTTACAGTAAAGAGTTTTAAGATAACATCTCCTGAAACACAAAGTCTAAAAGCGAGGATATCCTGTTAACCAAGGACTCAAAACACTAAATAAAATTACTCTAGGAGACTATGCATATATATATTTTAAATGCATAAATATATGCTTTTTACTGATAAAAATCATAGGAATCTTGGAATGTTTTATCCCTCAGTTTTTAAAATGGTAGTAACACCCAAAGTGTACTGAAGTCACATTCTTCTCTCAAAGGCTGCCTAACTGCATGTACGCCTAGGCTATTTCTTTTGAATTTAATCTCCAAATTGGTTCCACAGATCTTCACAACCATGAAGCCTAAGCGCTTCCCCCAAAAACCTCCCTGTTTTCCTTTAAACCCTCAGATCTTATCTTACCTGTGTTACTATTAATCCAGATTCCCTGTCTTCAATCTTTTCCTTCCTCAATTCATTCTGTACTCTACAAGCAAATTCATTGCTTTTTGATGAATGCTTTTATTAAGTCATCTCCCTCATACCAAAACTTGTACTCCCAAAAAAGTCTACACTGCCTCTGCATTTCTCCCTTATCTCCATATTTTCTAACTATACAAAAGCCCAGGCTTCTGTCAAATTAATCACCTGTCCTCCAACTTCTTCTGAACTTTCTTTCTATCTTGGCACATGCCACAAAGAATGCCCACCATTCCCCTCCTGTTGCCACTGCTCACCACAGTCATTTGCATTTCTGTATTTATTCATGTAAACAAGAACACAAAACTGAGATATTTCTTGCCCTTGAGGAGGCTGGCAGAAAAAAACAAATTTAATGAAACTAGCTAGTTTTTATTAAATACTTATGTGCCAAGTGGTCTCACATATTATTTCTAATCCTTTTAACAATCCTACGAGATAGATATTAATATTCTCCTTTTATCAAAACAAGGAAGTCAAGGTTTAGAAAAATCAAATCGTATATATATTTAGCAGTTGCCTCAAATCACGTACTTGATAAGAGGCAAAGCAAGGACATGAACCCAGGCTGCCTAACTCCAGAGCTACTGCTCTAAAAACTAACAGATTTTTTTGTTTGTTTTTTTCACAGTCAGAACCATGTGACTACCCCCTTCATCTATCTGAAATAACCTAGTTTTACATAATATTTCTACTTATACTATACAACAAGCTTTCTCATGTTTGTCATTTTAAGAAAAGAACGTTAAAATTCTAGCTCTCCAAAAAAAATTTAAAAAAACAATGCTCAAATTGCAACTTTAATCTGTAATTTTTTTTTTTTTTTTTTTGGTCACAGATTACTTTTACCTAAAATATTTCTAAAGAAACTCATTTCAATAAACTTTCTGGAAGATAACTACAAATTTCTTTCATACACTATGATGGTTTTACAAATTATTAGTAATATGAGGATTTTTGCTATTACCACCCAAGAATGTAACAGATATCTATCACATTGGCAAAGATTGTAAAAACTGACCTACTCAATGCCATTGAAGGTGCAGTGAGACACACACTCTTATACACAGGGTAACCACCCTCTGATCCAGTTATCCCACTTCTGGGAATCTATCCTACAGGAAGAAAAAAAACAAAGATGCAATCAAAGATAAAAGTACAAAAATGTCTGTTCCAGTGCTATTTAAAATAGTAATATTATAAAGAACCAACCTTAAAGTCTCACACTAGGAGATCAACATCCCATTCAGAAAAAAAAAGTAGGATCAAAACAGTATATATAAAGCTATAATTCTAATTTTCATTAAAAAAAATTAAAAATCTGTACATGCAAGGAAAAAACTGGAAAAATTCACATTAAAATGTCAGTGGTAACTTTTTCTTGATCATGGGGTCATAGACATTTTCAATTTCTTCTTTATACTTAACATTCTTTTCCAAAGTTTGCCACAGTATAACATGAATTACATTAATCAGAACAAAAACAAATGTTTAAGCAGCTATAACCCCTGTAATGATCCTGATCCTAACAAGGGCATATTACTTGGAATAAGAAATACATCTCCTAGTGCAAAGAAAACGTCAGACTTGTTTTCCAGCTTCTATTATGCTCACCTTTACTTTTAAGTTGTGTAAAGAATGTCATCCAAAACTGAGTAGTGCCTGTATTTATCAAACTGCACAAGGCCCACTTTCTAAAAGTCAGCCAAGGCTCCAAAAGAAAGAATCACAGTTAAATGGACTATTGTATTATATATGTCTACTGAGAATAACACATGTCCAATTAATCCTAACTCAAAACATGCAAAATGGAAAAACCAGAAAAATTACTCTCATTTTGCAAACTAACTAAATATATCATTGTTGCCTTATAAGCACATCATAATTAAGTCGGAAGAGAAGAGAATCTTGAAAATAAAACTGACAAGCTAACAACATTCACTAAAAATGCACATTTATGCATGTTGTCTATTTGTACATTTCTGTCCTAGCAGATAGTTGACTTTAGTGGCAAAGGATGATTTTAATCAGTTTAGAAAAAAATATTAACATGCCATTCTATAAAACAACTTCTGACATTAAACAGAGAATTGAAATTGATAGCTGAACCAGAAAACAACTTCCCTACAATGTGGTGTGTATATACATGCATGTGTGTGTGTGTGTGTAAATATATATACGTATACATATGCAGAAAAGCTATTTACAAACAAATATGTCTTGGACTTAAGTAAAATAGGCAGTAAAGCAAACAATTCTTATTTAACTCTATTTTAAACAACTGGGAAACTGATTTGGTCTAAGAAGCTGTTAGAAAATAAGACCACGGAAATGCTGTTCACTGGCCAGGCGTGGTGGCTCATGCCTGTAATCCAAGCACTTTGGAGGCCAAGGTGGGCGGATCACCTGAGGTCAGGAGTTCAAGGCAAGCCTGACCAACATGGTGAAACCCCGTCTTAAAAAAAAAATTAAAAATTAAAAAAATTTAAAAAAAAGAAACAGCTGTTCACTAACAGAATTTGAAATGTTCACAATTTATTCTACTTAAGAAATGAATATCATTCTATTTTCACTCTATCATGAAAATACAACCTTGATTTATAAAACATGATAGGCTATGGCAAACAAAATAAACCGCTAGACTATAAATTCCTTAAAGCAGAAACTACACCTTCACACTTCAGTATCCATCAAAGAGCCTAATCTGGGGTTACTCAAACATCTGTTCAATGACTGAATCTGAAATATATCAATGAAATCATGAATTAACTGTGGTGGCACACGCTTATAGTCCCAGTTACTCAGGAGGCTAAGGCAGGAGGATAGCTTGAGTCCAGGAGGAGGAGACCAGTGTGGGTGATATAGCAAGACTCTGAAAGAAAAAGGGAAATGGAAAGAAAAAAGAAAGGAAGTTAAAGAAAAGAAGGAGAGGAGGGGAGGGGAGGGGAGAGGGAAATTATGCAACTTTTTCACAAGCATAAGATGGAATTTAAACGGTAGTTCAAAGGTATCAATAGATTTGGGCTAGACTGTTAACTGTGTAAAACTGAAAGATTAGTGTTAAATTTCAACTGCTACAATATTTAACTTAGTGCCTTCTTGCTTAATGTTTTATGATATAGCCAACTTGTCTAGAATAGAATTTTAAAATATCACTGAAAACACAGTGAGTGAATTTACACATCTGACATATCTAAAATGTACTGTCAGCAATAAGAGATTTCCACTATTAGAGTCATATAAACTGCATTTGGGATACGTCCAAATAGTTGTATCCAGTTCTTTGTGCCTCTTTTTATAGTTTTGTCTTTGCTAAAGACAAAAACCAAACAACCAAAAAAGAAAACAGCTAAAAAATAAAAACAAAAACAAAACCACAGTCCTATCATGAACAAAATTATCTTTTGCATCCAGAATAAGTGGGTACAGCACTGTACTGCAAAAAAAAAAAAAAAAAAAAAGTGAATGAGTAACACGTTATAGGTGTATACAACTATGAGTTCAAGGTAAGGCACTTCAAGTTTTAATTAACCCAGCAGTATCTTTTATTAATTTTTTTAGTTTAATATACTGCTATTCTTATGAAATATAGCCTTATTTAAATACATTCCAACATTAAAACATATGATTACATATTCAATTTTAAATTTGGTTAACTTAAACACTTTGAACCACTCTATCAGTGTGAACTAAATAGGTTAGAGACAAGAAACATTGGGAAAATGAGTGATTTATAAAGAAATTTTTTTCTCAGGTTTATCAAACCTAAATTTATACAGCCTAAGTAAATAAGTCATTAGTGCTTTTCTTTTTCTTTTTTCTTTTTTTTTTTTTTTTGAGATGGAGTCTCGCTCTGTCATCCAGGCTGGAGTGCAGTGGCAAGATCTCAGCTCACTGCAACCTCTGCTTCCCGGATTCAAGGAATTCTCCTGCCTCAGCCTCCCAAGTAGCTGGGATTACAGCTGCGCGCTACCACACCCCACCAATTTTTTAATATTTTTGGTACAGATGGGGTTTCATCATGTTGGCCAGGATGGTCTTGAACTCCTCACCTCAAGTGATCCGCCTGCCTTGGCCTCCCAAAGTGCTGGGATTATAGGCATGAGCCACCGCGCCCAGCCAATTAGCGCTTTTAAAAAAGCGATTGATATTGCTTGTCATTACTTGAGGCGAATACATAGGCTGTGAGCATGCCTGAGCCAGCGAAGTCCGCTCCTGCCCCGAAGAAGGGCTCCAAGAAGGCGGTGACCAAGGCGCAGAAGAAGGACGGCAAGAAGCGCAAGCGCAGCCGCAAGGAGAGCTACTCCGTGTACTTGTACAAGGTGCTGAAGCAGGTGCACCCCGACACCGGCATCTCCTCCAAGGCCATGGGCATCATGAACTCCTTCGTCAACGACATCTTCGAGCGCATCGCGGGCGAGGCTTCCCGCCTGGCGCATTACACAAGCGCTCGACCATCACCTCCAGGGAGATCCAGACAGCCGTGCGCCTGCTGCCGCCCGGGGAGCTGGCCAAGCACGCGGTGTCCGAGGGCACCAAGGCCGTCACCAAGTATACCAGCTCTAAAAGACCTAACACCACAAAAACCCTAGAAGAAAATCTAGGCAAAACCATTCAGGACGTAGGTGTAGGCAAGGACTTCATGACCAAAACACCAAAAGCATTGACAACAAAAGCCAAAATAGACAAATGGGACCTAATCAAACTCCACAGCTTCTGTACAGCAAAAGAAACAATCATTAGAGTGAATCGGCAACCAACAGATTGGGAAAAAATTTTTGCAGTTTACCCATCTGACAAAGGGCTAATATCCAGAATTTACAAAGAACTAAAACAGATTTACAAGAAAAAAACTAACAAGCCCATTCAAAAGTGGGCAAAGGATATGAACAGACACCCTTTACAAAAGAAGACATACGTGAGGCCAACAAACATATGAAAAAATGCTCATCATCACTGGTCATCAGAGAAATGCAAATCAAAACTACATTGAGATACAATCTCACGCCAGTTAGAATGGCGATCATTAAAAAATCTGGAGACAACAGATGCTGGAGAGGATGTGGAGAAATAGGAACACTTTTACACTGTTGGTGGGAGTGTAAATTAGTTCAACCATTGTGGAAGACAGTGTGGCGATTCCTCAAGGACATAGAAATAGAAATACCATTTGACCCAGCAATCCCATTACTGGGTATATATCCAAAAGATTACAAATTGTTCTACTATAAGGACACGTGCACACGAATGTTCATTGTAGCACTGTTTACAATAGCAAAGACCTGGAACCAATCCAAATGCCCATCGACGATAGACTGGATAGGGAAAATGTGGCACATATACACCATGGAATATTATGCAGCCATTGAAAACGATGAGTTTGGGTCCTTTGTAGGGACATGGATGAACCTGGAAACCATCATTCTCAGCAAACTGACAGAAGAGCAGAAGATCAAACACCGCATGTTCTCACTCATAGGCGGGTGTTGAACAATGAGAACACATGGACACAGGGAGGGGAGCACTACACACTGGGGTCAGTTGGGGGGAAATAGGGGAGGGGGGGTGGGGGGTGGGAAGCTGGGGAGAGATAGCAGGGGAGAAATGCCAGATGTAGGTGATGGGGAGGAAGGCAGCAAATCACACTGCCACATGTGTTCCTATGCAACAATTTTGCATGTTCTTCACATGTACCCCAAAACCTAAAATGCAATAAAATAAATAAATGGGGGAAAAAAAAGCGATTAACTTGTCTACTGATTGGCGTTTATTTCATAAAGCATTTAATTTTCCATGTGTACATCATACACTTCTGAAAATTTTATTAAAAGAATTTTTTTAAACCACTTATAAAAACACACTATTTCCTGTTTCAACCCTACCTTAGTAACCATACACAATTTCCTTTTCTTCATTGGTGCATGTGTATATGCATATTTGTACCTTCTACCTCTAAAAGGCTTATTTTCAAGCAGAAATGAGAGTGTGGCATGGTTCTCTGTTGAACTGCTTTGTTGATCAGAACATCATGAGAGTGAACAAAGCTAAGCTAAGCTTATAGGTGCAATACTCACCTGGATCATTTAACTTTGATACAAAGTGCCCTCTTAACTAGTTATCTCACAACTGTGTGCAGGGGACTGAGAGAATGTGAATTATGCAGTGCAAATCTACACCACTAGTACAAAAGTTTCAAAACGTAAGTGAGCTAATATTAACATTATCTTTGTATATGAAAAACTGAAAAGCAGATTAAAAACTACTGTTTTTTTTTTGTTTTTTTTTGAGACAGGGTCTCGCTCGTTCGCCCAGACTTAAGTGCAATGGTGCAATCTCAGCTCACTGCAACCTCCGTGTCCCAGGTTCAAGTGATTCTCCTGTCTCAGCCTACTGAGCAGCTGGGATTACAGGCGCCTGCCACTTCGCCTGGCTAATTTTTTTGTAGTTTTTAGTAGAGACGGGGTTTCACCAGCTTGGTCAGGCTGGTCTTGAACTCCTAATCCACCCGCCTCGGCCTCCCAAGTGCTGCATTACAGGCGTGAGCCACCATGCCCAGCCTAAAACTACTGCTTATAATCCCCAAACTTCACGCACACGATTAAAGAAAAAATGGACACTTCATCAGTCTCAGTAACATACTAAAGCTTAAATATTTTTGTTTAATGCTAATCTCCATAAGATATGAATCTGGCATTAAGTAACGCAGCAATTAAATTACATCAGAATAAGCAAAAAATACTTGGAAATATGCTGTAACTCTTCTTAAAACTGATTAGGCCTAATCAATTAATTATTATACCCAATTAATTTGAAAAGGGACATCACGAACAAGTAAACTTACATTCACAATTTCAAATGTATCCCAATATTAAAATATAAACGCTTTACATTAGTTACTTTTGACCATCTAAAATAAGAGAACTTTAGAATCAGGAGATTAGAAATTATCTGAGGTTCAATGAACATTTACGGTGTCCCTACCATGCCAGGAACACAGCAAGGTGCTTTCAAGGAACTCAAGTGGTTTAACCCACTCCTCTGTATAGATGTCAAAGCTCCTCAACTATGCCAAATCAAGCCATCTAGAACCAGAACCAGAAATTCTGGGCAAAGCCCTCAGTGGTATAATTTTCTATCAAAACAGACTCGTATCATCAACCCCTATAAACCAAGTAAAATTACAAAGATGCAATGTTAACCTATTTAACAAAAACAGTAGTCTTTTTTTTTTTTTAACAACTATAAAGAATTACAATTAAAATTCAACTGTGAGTCTTCAACTAAGTACCTATATAATTTACTGCAAAGAACAAAACATGGGGCTGTCACAGCTATGAAATTCTAAAAACATCAAACAAAACAGAAATTAAATGAATTACAGATAACCACTAAAAATCCCTTTGTTGATGCGCACAGTGGCTCATGCCTGTAATACCAGCACTTTGGGAGGCCAAGGTGGCCAGATCACTTGAGGTCAGGAGTTTGAGGTCAGCCTGGCCAACATGGTGAAACCCCATCTCTACTAAAAATTTAAAAAAAAAAAAAAAAATTGATAAGCCAGGCGCGGTGGCTCTAGCCTGTAATCCCAGCACTTTGAGAGGCCGAGGTGGGCGGATCACCTGAGGTCAGGAGTTCGAGACCAGCCTGGCCAACATGGAGAAACCCCATCTCTTAAAAAAAAAAAAAAAATTTTATATTTTAAAAAATTGGCTGGGCGTGGTGGTAGACATGTGTTATCCCAGCTACTCAAAAAGCTGAGGCAGGAGAATCGCTTGAACCCAGGAGGCAGAGGTTGCAGTAAGCCAAGACTGCACCATTGCACTTCAGGCTGGGTAACAGAGCAAGACTCCTTCTCAAAAAAAGTTTTTTTAATTTTTAAAAATATCCCTTTGTAAGGAAAAAAAGCAATTACCACATGAACATTTGGATGTCTAACCCCTATTTTATATAAAAGATCATCAACCATACACTAAAGTTCATGGGTAACGGTAAACACTCACAAGGTCTAGAGTGACTTAAGTATTACAATACAAATCATAGCAGATAAGGGCAGAGACTCTGTCTAATTCATCTCTGTATCCAACAATTAGCACCCTGTTGTTGAATGTTGAAGAGAGGTAAGCTAACATCCAAACTTTAAATGTGAGCTATTGAAAAATTCAACCTAACAATCTGAAAGATCTCTTTATGGCTGACATTATTTTTTAAATGTTAAATAATAATGTCCAATGCAAGTGTTAAAATGACAATATCATGAAATGTTTACCAACAATTGTGGCTGTCAAGATCAGTATAACCTAGTCTTAAGAGTAAGGTGACGGGGATAGATATAGTGGCAGGGAAGGGTAGAAAGGGAAGACCCGAGACTGGTGCAGTGACCTGAAGGAAGTTAGGGATATGTACTGCCTTGGGGAAAAAGGTTATAGGCAGAGAAGACAACAAGTGCAGACACCTGAGTGTATTTGACCTTTTTGAGAACTAGGAGGCCAGTGTGGTTGGAGTACAGTAAGCAAGAGCAAAAGTAAAAGGACTTGAGATTATAGAAATAGCTGGGCTGCTGTAAGGCTTATATGCCATGGTGAGAACTTCAGATTTTACTGTGAATGAGAAGGGAAAACACTGGACGGTTCTGAAGAGAAGAGAGACTTGCTCTGACTTAAGTTTGTGAGCATCATTGTAGCTGCTATGTGGAAATCAACCTGGGGTGGAGGGGCAAGAGTGGAAGCCGGAAGATCAATTAGGAGATTAATAATCTTTAATTCTAACCTTTTTCAGTGATTGCAAAATTGTGTATCTTTATGCTGTCGGACATATAGTTTCCTTTTCTTCCCATCTATTAAAATAATTAAATGAGCATGTGCATATACAACATTTTCTTTCTCTTGGAATATTTCCTTGGGGATTCATTTCCAGAAGGACTACAGGATCAACGTATATGAATATAGTTAACTTCTGGGGTATATTAAATATAGATACTGTCCTTCCTGAGGCCATACAAAAAGTGAACAAAGGGTTTTGAGCTGTTTTAATATGAACTGGGCAACACTCAGGGATTCCATCCAGTTCACTTTTAAGACAGATGGTCATGGTTGGCCTCAGAGGGTCCCTAACACTAATGCAAAATTTTGTGAATAAACGCCTATTAACTTTTTTCTGAGGAGAGAGTTTATACATTTCATCATATTCTCAAAGGTGTCAGTGGCCTAGAAAAGGTTAAGAATTACTATTTTACAAACTGGAAGTGGACTGCAATATCCTAATATAGGGTACCTCTCAAAAGGACAGAAGATTTAACACCTAGACTCATCTTGGTAATCATTCAATTCATTCAACAAATACTGAACATGTATGATCCTCAATACCTTACAGCTAATCGTATCTGAAGTAGACCATAATTTAAACACCCAGGAAACTAGACAAGAGTCCCTGAAATATCTACAAAAGAATATCAAACTATATAATTTCAAGACAAAAATGTTACAGGAACGAATAATAAAGACAGAAAGTCTGGGGCCTAATTTAATGCTTACTATGTCAAAGTATCACAGAAATAAATTACCTCACAAGTAAAGAAAAACTACACATAGGCATGTCCACCCCCACACATTCTGACAGGAAACCCAAAGAAAGTTTCCAAATCCTGTTTCCAGCAGCATCTCTTCTGAGACAGCCCTTTACGCTTTTGAAGGTAGGAGCCCCAAGTTAAATCTAAGAGCTGATACTTAACTCTTAACTGTAATAACAAAACCATCATCCACCACCTACCTGTAGGGCTGTAGCCCAATCACCTTCTGCTCTATTATTCTATTTCACTTCCTATGCCTCCTACCTTCAAAGAAGGAACAAAATGATTTTCCCTCCCGAAACAGAATGCATTACTCCTCAACAGTAGTTCTTTTTCCAAGAGGTCAAAGGTTCCCTAAACTCTGGTTCTCAGCCCTGTGAGGAGATCCCATTTTGCAGGCACAAATGTCTTCCTCTCATCTTCTCCCCTTAGCAGTACATTACACAATTCGGCTGAAGACACTGTTCTTAACTTCCTGAGTAAGGGGGGCAACAGATGCTCTTACCAACGTTAGTTTGAAAGATCAGAAGAATCATACTGTGACCTCTTCCCTAACAAAATTCAGGTAAGAAGCAGAGACTCACGAAAAGTTAACACTGAAAAGGCGGAACACATGGTAAGCTACGGAAGACCTGGGGGTAAAGAAGGCGGGAAAGGGGCTGGAAGGTGGAGTGGGATGTAGAGATGTCAGCCCTATTCATTGGGGGAATAAAGGAAGGTAAAGGAGACCCTGAACCCTGACAGAAGTGAACACGGACATAGCAACGCTCCAACCTGTCCGCACTTCTACAGCAGAGGACAGAGGACAGAGAATTCACCCAACCCTCCAACCCCCTCCCCGTGTGACCCGCCAAAAGGGAGAGGTGGGAAGGAAGCTCTGACCCTAGACAGGGGACATGAAAGAGGAGGAAGGCAGCGATATCCAACCTTCTAAGTCTCTCAGGCAGTGATGGGCGAGGGCACTGAGTGTGGGGAGACGGCAAGGGAAATGGGCTTGTGCTATGACACCTCGGGGAGTTGAAGGGTGGGGGACACAATGTCCTCTTTCTCTCCCACAGCCGGCCGGGGCCCCTCCCGACGATCTCCCGCAGGCCTACAGTCGACCGGGTCGGTCCGCGGGCGTGGTTGGCTCTGGCCCTGGCAGTGGCCGGGCCTCCCTGATCTCCGGCCCCTCCCGCCGGCCAGGCCCCCGGGCCGCCGCCCCGGACACCGATGGAACGCGGAGGAGGAAGGGGGAGCCAGGCGACTGACCGGCGACATGAGCCGCCTCACCATCGGCTCCGCCGACCCGCGCCCCCCGCTCCCTCTGGGGCAGTCTAGGGCTCCCCGCCCCTTACTCACCCCCCTGGTCCGGCACCTCCTCCACCACCTCCTCCTCCTCCTCCTCCTCCTCCTCCCTCCTCTCGCCCGTGGCTCCTGCTCCGGCTCTGCGCGGCGACGGCAGCGGCGGCCTCGGGAGCGGCGGCGGCGCCTCCTCCAGAACGAGCACGCACGCAGCACGCAGCCCCGCCCCCTGGTTCTGCCCCGCCCCTCCAAGTTGGCGACGAATGGGCTTCGGCCCCGCCTTCCCCGCGGCGTTCGGGAGTCTGCTTAAAGGAGCCGCGCACTTTAAGAGGGGAGCGGGAAAGTCCTGGAACTACCGGGAAGGGGCTGGGAGTTTTAGCTTTGCACAGGGCGGGATGGGAGGTGGGTAAGAACGGAAGAAAAAAATAAGGAAGGGTCCAAAGATTCAAGAAGAAAATTTGGAGGGAATACAATCATTCGACAAGAACTAACTGAGCACCTGTTAGGTGCCAGGCGCTGTTCTAACTAAGCGCAAAGGGATAAAGCCATAGACAGGCAAAGACCCTCTTGCAGAATGCATGCTAGTGGAGTGGGAGAGGGGATACAGACAACAAACAAGTGACAAAAACTGCAGGTAGTGATAAGTGGTGTGGAGAAAAATAAACAGGGGATAGGGTGACTTTACACCTGGTCAGATACTGCCTCTCCAAGAAGACCTTTGAGCCCATACACACGGTATGAAGGAGTAAGTCTCGCAAACACGGGAGCCGGGAGGACAAATAGCCTTTCCAGGCTAAGAAAAAATCAGCCATAAACCCAGAGGTAGGGATATGCCTGCCATGTTGCAGAAACAGTGAAAGGCCGGCGTGGCTGTGCAGCCCGAGAGCAGTACCAGCTAGGCTCAGAGAGGTGGGCCAGTGGCCAGATGCAGTGAAACCTGCGGGCCTTATAACAGGAACTGGAAACCATAGGAGGAGGGTGAGCCGAGGAATGACCGCATCTGATTCACATTTTTAAAAGTTAGTCTTGCTGATGTGTGTAATAGGGAAGCACAGATGTCCTTGGGTTACCAGTACGGTAGCTTGGATTAAGTAGCCTGGCAGCCACGGACAGGATGAGAAAAAGGCTATTTTATTGTATTTAGATACATTATGATTGGAATGGATTTGGATTTGGGGGATACTGTGTGAAAGAACAAAAGGAAATCAGAGTTGATTCTTAGGTTCGTGCCTGATGACTGATTTAATGGTGGTGCCATTTAATGAAAAGGAGGCGCAGATTTGGGGATGGGGAAATCAAGAGGCTTTTTTGCACGTTATGTTTAAGGTACCTGTTATACATCCAAGCCGGGATGTTGAATAAACAATTGATATGAGTCTAGAGAGATACATTTGGGATCCATTAGCACATAGATGCTTTTTAAATCTTAGGTCCCGTTAGGATCACATAGGGAGGAGACTCGGAGGTAGCTGGAGGAGAGGACCAAGAGACACTCTAACATTTGGAGATTAAGTAGAAAAGAGAAAGAGCTACCAGTCAGGGCAGGAGGAACACCAGGAGAAGGTGAAGCATTGGAAAACAAGAGAATTGTTTTAGGAGGGAGCGAGTCATGAGTCTTATCAGATACTGCTAAATGAGTAAGATAAGGACTGAGAGTTTGAACACTGGATTTGGCCTGATGAAGTTGCCGATGACCTTGATGAAAACAGTTTCAGTGGAGTCATGAGGAGAAACTCTGATTAGGGTGTGTTAATAGGATGGGGGTTGAGGAAGAGAAAGTGATCTAAACAGCTTTTGAGAAGCTTTACTGTGAAAGAGAAAAGGGCAGTAGCCAGAGAGGTACTTGGGATCAAGGGAGAGCATTTTAAGACAGGAAATGCTTATTCTCATGTTGGTATGCTGGAATGATTTTTTAGAGAGATAAAATTGATGACACAGAATGCAACAACTGGAGAAAAAGAGTCCTCAAGTAGGTGAGAAGCGATTGGATCTAGCACAGAAGTGAAGAGGTTGGCCTAGGATAGGAGTAAGGGATTGCACTCACAGGCTATTTCTGGAGAGAAGGTAGTGTGTCTGGATGCAGATGCAGATAGATTAGGCAGTACATTTGTTGGTGGCACGCTCAGTCCCCTGCAGAGCAGAGGCGGCAGATGGGAGCTGAAATGTAGCCCTTGTTTTGCCCATCAAGCCATGTGCCCTGGTGGGGCCACGTCAGCCTGGAGGAAGGGGCACTTTCTGATTGCTCCACCAGGAGAGGTGATGCATTTTAGCAGTCTTGCATATATCACACACATGCATGCATACATGTATGGACCTTTTCCCAGTTTCCGCTGAGTGCTGTAAGTGCTGGCTGTCTCACTGGGATTGATGAAATAAGATCTGCTCTTTATGCAATGATAGAAGAAGGTGAGAAATAATTTCCTTGAAGAATGGAAAAGTGACTAGAGAAGCATAGTATCAACATCGCTGAGGGCCCTCTTGAGTTGATGGCCATACCTTTTTCTTTTTAGAGATGGAGTCTTGCTCTGTCACCCAGGCTGGAGTGCAGTGGCACCATCTCGGCTCACTGCAACCTCCACCTCCCGGGTTCAAGTGATTTTCCTGTCTCAGCCTCCCGAGTAGCTGAGACAGAGGCACGGTCCACCACCCCGGGCTAATTTTTTTTTTTTTTTTTTTTGTATTTTAGTAAAGACAGGTTTTCACTGTGTTAGCCATGATAGTCTTGATCACCTGAATTGGTGATCCACCCACCTTGGCCTCTCAAAGTGCTGGAATTATAGGCATGAGCCACTGTGCCTGGCCCATGGCCATACATTAAAGTGAGACCACTCTGCAAGGTTGTGTGATTCTCCTCCAGACACACTCTATCATTTGGGGGTTAAAGGACTGTATTTGACCAGGGCTGGGTTTTGCTGAGGAAAGTCAATGACAGGGGTAGGAGTACTATGTAAGGGAGTGATGATAGTGATGGACCTTGGAATCTAAGCTGGGAGGGAAGAGAGGGCAAGTAAGAAGTGGTGGAGTCAATGGTTTGTTGTGGTCCCTGTGAGCAGTAGCTGGAGAGGAAGTAATCAAATAAGTGGGGGCAAGGGGACTTTCCAAAGGTTGAGCATGGGGAAGGGTGAGTAACGTGGTTAGGGGAGAGGAAGCACAAAGTATCTGTGAGAAAAAAGTTCAGGCTGGTGCCAAGGAGCTAAGAACACAGCAAAGCCCTTGGGCACTTGCTCTCATCATGGTATATGTGAACCGTTGGTTTAGAGAGGTTGAGGAATTGGATTGCCCACTCATAATCTTCAGGGAGTTGCACAAACAGGAGAAACTGAGTGCAGGAGGGGATAAACCAATTAGATCCTCCCAGGGCTCCTTTACAAGCTCTGGGAAAGCCCAGCAGGCACTTTGCTTTCCTTGCCCTTTCCTTTCACCAGGGATACCTGAGCATTTGTGTTGGCACTTTATCCGGCCTGGTATTTGACAGAAACTAAACAACACCTTTCTTCCTAAATCCAGCTCCTCCTCCTCCTGACTTCCTCTTTTCTGTTCATAGCACTACCTTTCTCAGCCACTCAGCTGCCAAACAGAACCTCCAATCCATCTTCCTCATCCTACGCCCAATTAGTCCCTAAAGCATAGTGAGCTGCACTGTCCAATAAACATTGCACTATGACGGAAATGTTCCTTACCCGCATAGTCCAATACGGAAGTTACATATGGCTATTGAGCACTTAAAATGCAGCTAATACAACTGAGGAACTGAATTTTTTTTTTTTTTTTTTTTTTTTTTTGAGACAGAGTCTCACTCCGTTGCCAGGCTGGATTGCAATGGTGCGATCTCAGCTCGCTGCAACCTCTGCCTCCCAAGTTCAAGCAATTCTCCTGCCTCACCCTCCAGAGCAGCTGGGGCTACATGCGCTCGCCACCACACCCAGCGAATTTTTGTATTTTTAGTAGAGACAGGGTTTCACCATGTTGACCAGGATGGTCTCGATCTCTTGACCTTGTGATCCACCCACTTCGGCCTCCCAAAGTGCTGGGATTACAGGCGTGAGCCACCACACCTGGCCTGAATTTTAAATCCTATTTAATTTTAATTAAAGTTACATTTAAAGAGCCTTGACTAGGAGCCACTATATTGGACTGCACAGGTATAAATATTGTACTTTCTACACAATGGCTCTTCCTTTTGCCCCCACCTCTTTAGCTCTATTGCCACTACTCTAGGTCAGGTATTGGTTAACCTAGGTCGAGACTTTCCTGTGCTCTCCTATTTAGTCTCCTGCTTAGTTGCCTTCCTTTCAGTCCATCTTGTGTTCTTGCCAAAACCATCTCCCTAAAGCGTTGGCCAGATCATGACTCCACCCTGTTTTAAAAACTATCAATATTTCCCCCACATTTAGTACAGACCGGTCAATCTGGCACTTGCCCAATTACGTATCTCCATCCCATTTTTCCAACCTTACCTTCCACTCTACCCTTACACGTATATCAAACTATTTGCTGTAACGCCTGCTAACTTTTTACAAAGGAGTCAACTTATTAAGCTGTCTCTCCACCTGCAAAAAATGCCTCTCTTCCCTCTGTCAAACCTAAAATCTGTTGAAATCCTTGAAGGTGCATTTCACATTGCAGCTCCTGAGTGGAGCCCTCCTCTGAAGTCTTGTAGTTCCTATTCATTCCTCATCTATGGCACTTATGTGCTGCCTTATAGTGCATTGTGTGTATTCATTTTATTCTTATTACTAAATATTATTCCTTGCGAGTCACTGTGTTTTAATTATGTTAATGCCTCTTGCAGGATAAGGGGCACCTTGTAAAATAAGGTACTCTTCAAAGAGGCACTGAATGTAGTTATGCACTTTCATGAAATCTGTAGGACATCCATACCCCTGCCTAACCCTAACAGTAACATCACTAGCCCTCAAAAGAAAGTCTTGATACTCTGGAAGCAACTTTTTTTTTTTTAAATGGA